TTCAGAAGATAGATATTTATCTATTGAGTCAGAGAGCCCAGACTCATTCACTCGGTTCTTAAGAAGGCATGAAGACAAGTCAGATAGTTTGAATTTATTGGCTTCTTTATTTCTTCTTTCGGAAGGGATAAATATTCCCATTGAAATAGTGGAGAGTAAAGTGAATAAAAATAAAATACTTATCCTAAAGAAGAAAAAAGTAGAGAGACCAGAAGAAGAGGATAGGAATAGTAGTTCTGAATATGATGAGTTAGAGAAGAGGAAAATAAGCAGAAGAGAAGGATTTCACATCAACTTGCATATGAATATAAAGAAAAAAACAAAGAAGGGAAGACTGTAGAGAGAACACCCCAAAAGAAAACAGAAGAGATAGTGAGCTTCTTCAAGAGTCTTGCCACCACCAATTCATCTTACTGCTTAAAAGTGCCAGAAGAGTTCACAATGCCTACTACATATGAAGAGTTCTTAAAGGGGAATTTTCTGTGCAATCCGAAGTTCCTTATACAGTCGTACTTCTTTGAGTATATAGACAGTGTGGAGATGTATGAAGAGTTTGTAAGAGTGGTGTATGAATTAATTACTGAACAAATATCAAACAAAGATGAGAAGAAGAGTGAGAATGTATGTATGGAGACAGGAAAGAAAGCACAGAAGGTGTTTGATAGTCTATTCATTAAACAGGACTCAGCCGAGCTGCCTAGCAAAGTGAAATATATTAAGCATTTTAGATTGGTTGAACATAAATTGAATGATGAACTACAGCCAATACCATATGTTGAGAGTACAAACTCACGACATGATGTCTTTTTACAGGAATTTATGCCATCATATAATCGAAAAACAGACGAGTTTGTTAATGCAGAATTGAGCAAGTATACTATTTCTATTGAGCCTGCTCTTCTATTTTTGTTCTTTTTATTTGCATTTGATTCTAGGGCTGGAAGGTATGATATAAGCCACATGCCTAATCCATCGAAAGAACTAAAGAGATTCTTTGCTAAGTATAGCGATCCATTGCAGGTTATGGACTATACTATGTACAGAGAGTGGCACAGGGTTGTAGAGGACCTACCCAATAAAGACATTTCCTACCGTTTAAATTCATCTGACAGCAGAAATAAAATTCAATTTGGCATACTAAACATGATATATATCATGAGAGAAATAGCAGGTAAGAATGACACTAAAATTAATGAAAATATTGAATCTATAAAAAATATTATAAATGACTCGGATGAAATTTCCGATTCAGATATAGATAGATTTTTAATCGATGTACAAAAAATATGTATCTCTTTCTCAAAAAACAAGGAAATTAAAACACAAAAGAATGGTAAGTTTTTTACAAAAGAATTAGAAAATGACATAATGGATATAGGTATCTATGAGGATTTGCCTTTAGAGATTATATATAAAAAGAAGGAGGAAGACCCAGGTTCTATTGTAATAGAGATGGATGATTTTAGTAGTTATGCTGATAGTGATCATAATGGCCGTGTAAAATGCGAGGTTTCCGAAAATATGCTAAGAAATAAGCGCAGCAATGTCGAAAAAACATTATATGATATAAAAAAGATATACATGAAATCAAAGAATTACATTGGATGCATTATGAGACAATACGCGAATCTATATCTGGACAAAATCTCGTATGCAATTAAAGGTGAATACAGATTCATTAAAAGGATAAAGTATATTTTAAACAGTGGACACACTAATCCAAACGGCCTACTACTGTGTGGTAACCTAGAGACCATGCATTACAAGTATGAAATAACTAAAATATTTTTGGAAAAACACCGAAGTTATACTAAATCTTATAGAAACATAATAGGTAAAAACAATCCTATGGTGCAGTTTACAAGAAACCTTATAGGAAGTGTTCCAATTAATGAACACGCATTAAAGGAAAAATTTCAATCCAGTGGTATTTATGATGGCGAGTATAAAAATTGGTATCCTTGGGTAGAATAGAATGTTTCTACGGATACGCCATCAAACAGCAATTTACAGCCAAGCACTTCAAATACCGTAAGTTGATTTCTTAGAAAGTATCATCATGCTATTTTAATGTTTGTTTAATTTCCGGCCTGCATTCATACCATTAAATAATTTAAATTACTCTTTTATAAAATAAATACTTAATATACTACCCGAAAATTCAAAATTCTAATTTAGACTATATTGTAATTAAGTCTAATTTGTGTATACAATATGTGTATATTCGTATTAATTAAATAACCCGAATATATAAATAGCAATATAGAATAGTGCATAACTTAAGAATTAGATATGGAATGTAACTGTTTTTTCCTTAAAGACTTAAACATACAAAAGCTTGTTATTTGTTCAAACCCCAAAACTCTTATATAGTTCTAATTTCAATCATTTACGATAGAAACATGCCTATTGTTATCACCAATGATGGATACTCATATATTAATATCATACTTATCCATTGCTATTCTGGATCGCACTATCCCAAACCAACAACGGCTGCTCTAGAAACATGCGAAGCAATATCCTATAGTGTGCAGAAGATGGATACACGGCGCCTGCCGCCTGTCTAGCTAAGTCTTTCCATATCCCATGTCAATAAATTGTTTGTTATTTTCAAAACATTCCGACTGTATTCTACCGCATTTATGCTTTTGTTTTTTATTTCCGCATGAATATAACTCAAAATTTAACAACAACACTAAGAGTGATAGGCCCAGCCATCCTACCATTTCTATTTGGAATGTGTCTAACATCTCTGAATACTCTCTGTAATATAAAAGTGCCAATAAATATATATTCTGGCGCAGACCAATTACATGATGGTATACAGATATCAGCTAATGCGATTGAAGGAGTCCGATTAGAAGATTCAAAATACTGGACATTAGTGCCGCCTGCTTTATTTGCTGGTGCATTCACTTTATCTGCTGCTATTTTCATTGCTGGGATGTACAAAAAAACACCACATCCATACTTCAAGACTCTTTTTACAACAGCTGCTGCATTTATATGCACGGGGAATATTTTATTTATATTTACAAGAAATAATCTGCTACTGTCTGTGTATATGTATTTTATAGGGATAGGCACGGGCATTGCATGCGCACTTGGCCCTGTGTACTACACTGACTTACTTGGGCCAGTCACCGGATCAAAAGTGGCCTCACTTCAAGGGCTATTCATAAATTTGGGTGTGTTGCTAGAAGGCACACTTTCCGGGCACTTTAAAGAGCCCATTTACATATTCTGGGTTATTGCCGCAATTAGTTTTATTTCTTTTATTATTAATATTATACTTACTAAATCATCAAATAGCGAGAGCAATTCAAGGGCTGTCAAAGCAGCTGGTTATACAAATATAACAACCCGAAAATACAACCCGAAAATGCTTATTGTTTCGTGCCTTATTATGCAAGCAGTACAGCAAATGACGGGAATAAACCCGATTTTATCAAGCAGAAACGTGTTCTTCACAGAGACAAATACTGTGTCAGAGTATTTCTTTAATACAGCAGGTGTGATTGGTACTGCTCTTTCATCATTAGTCATGTTCTTTGCGGCTGGATTTAAACAGGCTGTATTTTTATCAGGCATAGCATGTGCACTTTCTCTGGGCATACTTGCATTCAGCAAGGTATCGTGGAGTGCTGGTGTGTATTTTCTGTTCTTTTCACTTGGACTTGCCAATCTTCCCTGGATACTTCCTGGCATGTTACTACAAGAAGAGTCAGATATAACTATGGCAGCAGGCCTCGGGTCACTTGCCAATTCTGCCGTGTCTTGTATTGCACTGGTTATTTACACGCGCGCGCAGAGCAGTTATAATGAGAGCAACTTGAGTGTTAATTGGATATTCTTAATATTTAGTGCCTTTTCACTTATAGAAGGAATATTCGGGTATTTCTTAGTACGTGCATCAGAAAGACAAAGGAAGCAGAGTAAAATCACAGAGAGTGTAGAAATGAAAGAATTGGCCAATGCATGAGAAATAACCTGAATGTGTTTAGCATTCACTAATATGGAATTGTTACTACATACCCCGAGTGTATTATCATGTGCAGTGTATTGTTATATGTATAATAAATCTATACGTTTAGGTTAATACTAGTTTGCTATTATTGTACTATTATACTATTATTTATTTTATGCCAAGGATAAATTGTTTTTATTTCTATAAAGTGTGTATTATTGTAAATTTTAAATATCTTCAGTAGATGCATATATAAATGTAAGGCATAAGTAGTATTTAATTTTAATAAACCATGCATTAATATTACGAGAAATAAAGAAATAGAAATTACTGTAAAGACAGTACAGGCGGGTTAAACCAAGACAATGCATTAGAAAGACAGCCGTATAACATAAGCAGCCGTATATAAATAATTAGAAAGAGTGAACAATACCATAAGATGGCTAATATCACACTACAATTATAACCCGAAGACAAATATAAATGGCTTATTCATATTTCTATTTAAGCATTAACTACTAGATATAATATTAATAGGAGTATAATGTATTAGTGAGGCCTGGCTTTTATTTACTTCGTGGCCTAGTGCCTTATACCAACAAGCAGTTTGTATTAAAATGCCCAAAGTGTACTTATGAAACTGTAAGTTCTAACTATATTTTAATTCTTATAAAGAATTGTTGTGGGTTTAGAATATTTCTGTTGGTTTCTACCATACAATGGATCATGCAGACTGCGAGAGTCTCACGCCCGCCTACATGAAATACTATATGGCCGTGATATATGGATGTCTAGAGCTGTATATAGTGGGAGAATAACAAAAAATAAAATAAGTTTCAATTATGCAATAGAGAAAAACCAACTCTATTGTTTAACATGCTCATAAGAATGCACTGCTGTTTCAAGAGATAGTATAGTTTAATATATGGTGAATAAGAGTTCTTTGTGCTTGTTGGTGTTGGTTATTTATAAACACAGAGCGAATATACGCGCCTCAGCAGCAATATTGCTTGGTGTGGTGTAATAGAATAATTAATATGATAGTAATCTATGGAATGTGTATTATTTTGGATATAAATCAACTTGCCAAAATTAAATGATGGAAGACTGAAGTTATATACGCGTTTCCGGAATTTAATAAACACAAAGTTTTGTTATGGCATCAAGTAGTTTGTATTCAAGAAGAAGACAAGAAACTAGACGTTAGAATGTCTGAGTGTGTATATAAGGCAGTATACTAGCAGTTATAGTGTTTTTCTGTATAATTGTATTATATGATATATTACTGACTAATTAAGTGAATCTTATGCTATATAAAAATAGAAATAAAAAATCAAATTGGGTAATAAAAAATATTTTATTTATTCCCTGGATGAAAAACCGTATGATCATACAGCTACTAGTAATGATATACACAATATATGCAAGACTCGAGCTGTGCGATATAAAGGAGATAGAAGAGAATACTTTTGCTGAAATACCAGGGGGCTTATTAATAAATCCAGACGGTCCATTAAACCCACTGAGAGGATACATTTTTCATAAGAACGGATTAATACACAACAAAAGACTTCTTTCTTCTGGGATAGAGACAGATTATAATGTGAAGATCCATGGCGCTTTAACAGAGAGAACGCGCTGGTATAATTTCGTATTCAAAAGAAATTCAG